GCTAACCAGCAGCATTTTGAAATCCATTGATAAGAAACACCAATATGAAAAGCAATATAGACAGGGCTTAATACACAAAGATATTCTTAAACAATATTCAACAGTTCTCACCAAATTAATAAAGAAAGCCAAACAACTGTACTACAGCAGATTCACTGACACAAGAGGAGATATAAAAAAGACCTGAAAAACACTTTCCCAGATTCTGGGGACTCACAAACTGAAAAAAAACAAGAATATTGTTCTAATTAAACCTCATGAAACACCACTGCATCCCACTGATACAGCTAACAAGATTAACGACTTCTTCTCAAACATAGGATCTAATCTCGCCAGTAAAATCCCACGTACCAATGCCCGTGCTGGGGACTACCTAGATGGGAATTTCCCAAATTCCTTCTATCTTGTACCAACTGAGCCCACCGAAGTCACCGCGATCATAAAGTCACTTAAAAATAACTCGGGGAATCTGTCTCACGTCCCACCATTATTGTACAAGGAAGCGGCCCATGTCCTTTCGCATGCTATTACATTACTTTTTAACAAGTCACTAGAAACCAGCACTTTCCCGACACTACTCAAGACAGCAAGGGTTACACCAATACATAAAGGTGGTGACCCTACAGACGTAAACAACTATAGGCCAATATCAAACTTACCATTGCTTTCTAAAATCTTCGAGAAACTCGTGCACAGGAGACTATATTCATTTATAACGTCACAAAACATACTCAACCCCTGCCAATTTGGATTCAGGAAAAATAAAAGCACTAATGATGCAATTATAAAAGTACTAGACCTGCTTTACACAGCATTGGAAAATAAGGAATATCCGCTAGGAATTTTTATTGACCTAAGAAAAGCGTTTGACACAGTAGACTACGGCATCCTACTCCACAAACTTGACCACTATGGTATAAGAGGCCATGTGCTTGCATATTTTAAATCCTACCTTTCTAATAGGTATCAGTATGTCACCATTAAAGACATAGCCTCATCAATACGGCCACTTGATACTGGAGTTCCGCAGGGAAGTGTCCTTGGACCCCTGCTCTTCCTCATTTACATCAATGATCTTCCAAACATATCCCAACACCTGAAACCCATTCTCTTTGTTGAGGACACGACTTACGTCATCTCCCACCCTAATCTTGCCACCCTCAACACCACTGTTAACGAGGAGCTGCTCAAAATATCGACTAGGATGACAGCCAATAAACTTACACTTAACACTGGCAAAACCTACTATTATGTTTGGCAGCAGAGCAGGTGTTGCGCAACTTAACATTAAGATCGACAACACTCTAATTGCCAGACATAATGAGGGCAAATTCCTTGGTCTATACCTCGACAACAACCTAAATTTCAGCACCCATATCCAGCACATAAAAAAAGTATCCAAAACGGTGGGGATCCTCTCCACGATACGATACTACGTGCCGCAAACTGCCCTTCTCACACTATACCATTCACTTATATATCCATACCTCACCTATGCTATCTGTGCTTGGGGTTCAACTGCAGCAACACACCTAAAGCCAATAATAACCCAACAAAAAGCCGCAGTAAGAATAATCACTAAATCCCAACCCTGGCAACACACCCCCCACTCTTCATAGATCTAAACTTACTCCCTGTTCAGAACATCCACACTTACTTCTGTGCAATCTATATCTACAGGACCTTAAATTCCAATATTAACCTTGACCTAAAATGCTTTCTTGATAGTTGTGACAGGATCCACAGGCATAACACGAGACACAAACATCTCTATGACATTCCCAGTGTTCGACTAAACCTTTACAAAAATTCAATGTATTTCAAAGGACCTAAAATCTGGAACACCCTACCTGAAAACTCTAGAACTGCAGACACATTCATCACTTTCAAAACTACAGTTAGAAAACATCTTATCTCCCTGATCCACCCCGACAACTAACTACATGATAACCACCTGGTGGTTCACAATTACACTCACTCACCCACTGACTATAAACCCAGAAATACTATGATACTCAAATATAGACACCTTGTATTGTGCCAAAACAAAAGCATTCACATTGCTAAACTCACAAATTATGATGTAGTCACTTAGCCTTAATACCATAATCTGTAAGGATTTAATGTTAAGAATTAATCTAAGTCTGCCCAAAATGCCTAGCCATGCTAGGTGTCCTAGTGGCCCCCTCTGTAATTAGTATTTTATAACATGTAAACAACACAATACCCAAAACCTGTAAACCCCATTCTGTAACCCTTATAGAGAATAAACTTGAACTGAATTGAATTGAATAAAATAAGACATTTAATGTGCCCAAGAGTGATTATTATTACATAAGATATGTGCTACGGAGAATGTAAACAAACCGAGTGGCGAGCGCCATATTTGAAAGACCGCTCGCTATATAGAAAGTTTTGGTCATAATTTGAAATCGCCATATTAGCTGAACTCCGTAAGGCGAAACTCCGTAAAACAGGGCCCTACTGTATACTTCAAAAATGCATAACAAAATCTGCTGATTCAAAAGATTAGGAAACAACATAATAATAAATAATAAAAATTTATTTCTTTGCTAAGTTCACTGACTACAGAATTGCCAATCATTATTATCAGAACAAAACAATCTCTTCTATATCCTCTAAAACTGCTATTAACCACCACTCACTACCTCTCTTATAATCCATTATATCAAGGATTTACAGTACGGTATTATTATTAGAATCCTTCCTCCATAAGCCATGCATGTCGTAAGAGATGACTAAAATGCTGGGAGCCAGCAGCTAATAATCCCTTCTCCTTTATACATTATTAAACGTAAATGGGAAATGGGAAGTACAATGCCTGCACTTTAAAGGAGTGGTTTGGGATATTGGCAGTTTGGAGGGATATGTTGTGTATCTTTATACGTATATGCTTCTAAACTGTTGTATTCTGAGTACCTCTGCAAAAGCAGTGATAATGTGTGAGTTTGGTGAAAGTGTTGAATGATGATGAAAGTATTTTCTTTTTGGGGATTTTCTTTCTTTTTTGGGTCACCCTGCCTCGGTGGGAGACGACCGACGTTGAAAAAAAAAAAAAAAAAAATTTTGTTTCTTCTTTTTCAAGTCACCCTGCCTCAGTGGGAGATGGTAATTTAGTGTACATTATCTCAGACTATACAGTGGACCCCCGGTATTCGATGGCATCGGTATTCGATAAATCTGGTATTCGATGCACTATATCGCAAAAAAATTTCCTCGGTATTCGATTGAAAATCCGGTATTCGATACGATTCATACGAGACCAGTCTACATGTGGCCTGAACTGCCCCTTGTGTGCCAGCGTTTACAAGCCAGCCAGTGTGCACGCATCTAAGGATACATTCGGTATATTCCATATTATCCATATTATCACTGTCTTTGGTGCTTGTTTCTGCAAAATAAGTCACCATGGGCCCCAAGAAAGCTTCTAGTGCCAACCCTGTGGTAAAAAGGGTGAGAATTAGTATGGAAATTAAGAAAGATTTTGAAGGGTTTGGGGCTAACCCTGAGAAGCCTATACCAGTTGTGGAATACATTGTGCCTACTTCAAAAATTAAAGAAATGTGTGCACAGTGGGTTGAACTGCAAACCTTTATGGATGAAAATCACCCTAACACAGCTATTACAATGACAATGTTGTGGCCCATTTTAGACAAATCGTAAAGGAACAGGAGGTACAGAGCTCTATGGACAGATTTGTTGTGCGACAGAGGTCCAGTGACTCTCAAGCTGGTCCTAGTGGCATTAAAAGAAGGGAAGTAACCCTGGAAAAGGACTTGCTACCTCAAGTCCTAATGGAAGGGGATTCCCCTTCTCAACACTAACACCTCTCCCCTCCTTCCATCCCATCAATCATCACCAGATCTTCATTAAAGGTAAGTGTCAATTATTTTATTGTTATTGTAATTATTCTATTGCATTAAACTTAATATTTCATGTAGTAAAATTTTTTTTTTCATACTTTTGGGTGTCTTGCACGGATTAATTTGATTTTCATTATTTCTTATGAGGAAAATTGATTCGGTTTTCGATATTATCGGTATTCGATGAGCTCTCAGGAACGGATTAATATCGAATACCGGGGGTTCACTGTACTACTATTGGATGCGTGCAACACAAAAAGAATACATTCTTTAGAGTATTTAATATTTTTACTAAATATTTTTTTAACATGCACAATCTCTTTATCAATGTGTAAAGGTATTTATTTATATTTTATTTATTTACAATTTGAGCACACATACAGAGGTACAAAAAAATACAGATAAGAGCAGCATGCCAAAGCCACTTATACTATGCATAGCATTACAAATGTTCTCCATGCATTTTGACTATTTCATCAATCCCTCCACTTTCATAATACTGAAATATCCCCACTCATCACAGAAGACACTTTTGCTGACACTTTTATTTCATTTCACAATCTTTCATCTACTTCTAAAAAAAAACACTTTCTGCAATTACTTACTTAGTAGATTCCAACATCTTGTTGTTCATATCTAGTAGCTATAAACCAGGACAGTATCTATCTACTGTTATTGTTACCAGCTCTGCTAATGTCAACTAACAATTTAAAATTGGAAACTGTGTTTAAATCATTAAACATAAAATATTCATTACTGACTCAAATGTTTATTCTGGCAACAAGATGAGTAGATAGGTAGGTAGGCAGCTTGTTTGTCTTGTGCTTAGAGGATGGAGAATCAAACTTCCATTATCCCTTGCACTGAATGACCCACACAAGATTAGCATTCAACATTAAAAAATAAAATTCTGTCACTCATCATCTTAATCCACTCACCCTTCTCATAACATACAGAAAATTTCCTAAATTTCTCCCCAACACATCAACCTTTCTAATCTCTTCTATAAATTTATTCAGCCTTACACTCACCATCTCTTCATACTTCCTTTCTTCTACTCCCTCAACTTGTGAATTCACTTGAATCATTGCAAATAATGGTACCAAGACCCATTACCTCTTCATAGCCAGGTTCGTTGTGGTATGGGCGTTCATTCATGAGAGACTGCAGAGATAACAACACGCTCGAAAGATTCGATGCCGGACTCCACGCTGGACCCGACCAAGTACTGCAACCACAAGTGTAGAGATGAAGTATTATAATTCATGTAAAATAAATTATTTATCACCTGGCAAAAAATTACCTCACACTGATTATTTTTTTTTTTCAACAAGTCGGTCATCTCCCACCGAGGCAGGGTGACCCAAAAAAGAAAGAAAATCCCCAAAAAGAAAATACTTTCATCATCATCAACACTTTCACCTCACTCACACATTATCACTGTTTTTGCAGAGGTGCTCAGAAAACAACAGTTTAGAAGCATATACGTATAAAGATACACAACATATCCCTCCAAACTGCTAACATCCCGAAACCCCTCCTTTAGAGTGCAGGCATTGTACTTCCCATTTCCAGGACTCAAGTCCGGCTATATAAAAATAACCGGTTTCCCTGAATCCCTTCACTAAATATTACCCTGCTCACACTCCAACAGATCGTCAGGTCCCAAATACCATTCGTCTCCATTCACTGCTAACAACCTATGCACGCTCGATTGCCTAGACCTGACTCCACAACCTAACCCCTCCTCACCTGTTTGACGAACCCAACGCCTTCCATCCCAATATTTAATATGGCACATTATTCTACTTTGATCCATTCTCTTGCTCCAAGAACCTTTTTCGACCCCTTACCCATCGACCATCCTTCTTTAATCCACTTCCCTAATTTCATATTCAACTTTCTGCATAAATTTACACGCCGACCTCAGACCCAATTACTCTCAAAGCCTCCACCTTTTCCTACTCCATCCACCCAATTATCATCACTAAGATGTTGCTCTACCAATTCATTTATACCCTCTATGCCTCCATAATATCTTTTTATGTCCACTTACCTCACCTACACACACCCCTTTCCTACATATACCTTGCTTCTCTTTGAATCTCCCAAATCAACCCAATTATCTGAAAAAGTCAACTGTGTCATATTCCCATTTCCCATTTGATTCCCATTATTTTAATCCCAACCTTTGTCCCTCAACTACCTTTCATGTTCACTTAACTTTTACCTTTACCCCATCTTAAATCTAAAACCATCATAACCTTTGCAATTCTTCTTAGAATCTCCCATAAGCACAGTTCATCATCAACAAAGTAACTGTGTCAATTCCCATTTTGTATTTGATTCCCCATAAATTAATCCCACCCCTCTCCCGAACACCCTAGCATTTACTTCTTTTACAACCCCATCTATAAATATATTAAACAACCATGGTGACATTACACATCCCTGTCTAAGACCTACTTTTACCGGGAAGTAGTCTCCCTCTCTTCTACACACCCTAACCTGAGCCTCGCTATCCTCATAAAAACTCTTTGCAGCATTTAGTAACTTACCACCAATCCCATATACTTGCAACATCTGCCACATTGCTCCCCTATCCACTCTATCATATGCCTTTTCTAAATCCATAAATGCAATGAAAACTTCCCTACCTTTATCTAAATACTGTTCACATTTAAGCTTCAATGTAAACACTTGATCTACACATCCCCTACCCACTCTGAAACCTCCTTGCTCATCCGCAATCCTACATTCTGTCTTACCTCTAATTCTTTCAATTATAACCCTACCGTATACTTTTCCTGGTATACTCAGTAAACTCATTCCTCTATACGTAATTTTTACAATCTCTTTTGTCCCCCTTCCCTTTATGTAAAGGGACTATACATGCTCTCCGCCAATCCCTAGGTACCTTCCCCTCTTTCATACATTAAACAAAAGTACCAACCACTCCAACACTATATCCCCCTCTGCTTTTAACATTTCTGTCATGATCCCATCAGTTCCAGCTGCTTTACCCCCTTTCATTCTACGTAATGCCTCACGCACCCCCCCCCATACTCACATCCTGCTCTTTTTCACTCCTAAAAGATGGTATACCTCCCTGGCCAGTGCATGAAATTACCGCCTCCCTTTCTTCCTCAACATTTAAAAGTTCCTCAAAATATTCTCGCCATCTACCTAATACCTCCCTCTCCCCATCTACTAACTCCCCTACTCTGTTTTTAACTGACAAATCCATACGTTCCCTAGGCTTTCTTAACTTGTTTAACTCACTCCAAAATTTTTTCTTATTTTCATTAAAATTTCTTGACAGTGCCTCTTCCACTCTATCATCTGCTCTCCTTTTGCACTCTCTCACCACTCTCTTTACCATTCTTTTACTCTCCATATACTCTGCTCTTCTTTTAACACTTCTGCTTTGTAAAAACCTCTCATAAGCTAACTTTTTCTCTTTTATCACACCCTTTACTTCATCATTCCACCAGTCACTCCTCTTTCCTCCTACCCCCACCCTCTTATAACCACAAACTTCTGCCCCACACTCTAATACTGCATTTTTAAAATGCATTCAACCCTCCTCAACCTCCCCACTAATCATCTTTGCACTAGCCCACCTTTCTGCCAATAGTGGCTTATATCTCGCCCGAACTTCCTCCTTCCTTAGTTTATACACTTTCACTTCCCTCCTACTTGTTGTTGCCACCTTCCTCTTGTCTCTTCTACCTCTTACTCTAACTGCAGCTACAACTAAATAATGATCCGATATATCAGTTGCCCCTCTATAAACATGTACATCCTGGAGCCTACCCATCAACCTTTTATCCACCAATACATAATCTAACAAACTACTTTCATTACGTGTGACATCATACCTTGTATATTTATTTATCCTCTTTTTCATAAAATATGTATTACTTGTTACCAAATCTCTTTCTACACATAGCTCAATTAAAGGCTCCTCATTTACATTTACCCCTGGCACTCCAAATTTACCTACTACTCCCTCCACAACATTTTTACCCACTTTAGCATTGAAATCCCCAACCACAAGTACTCTCACACTTGGTTCAAAACTCCCCACGCATTCACTCAACATTTCCCAAAATCTCTATCTCTCCTCTACACTTCTCTCTTCTCCAGGTGCATATATGCTTACTATAACTCACTTTTCACATCCAACCTTTATTTTACTCCACATAATCCTTGAATTAATACATTTATAGTCCCTCTTTTCCTGCCATATCTTATCCTTCAACATTATTGCTACTCCTCCTTTAGCTCTAACTCTATTTGAAACCCCTGACCTAATCCCATTTATTCCTCTCCACTGAAACTCTCCCACCCCCTTCAGCTTTGTTTCACTTAAAGCCAGGACATCCAGCTTCTTCTCATTCATAACATCCACAACCATCTCTTTCTTATCATTTGCACAACTTCCACACACATTCAGACTTCCCACTTTGACAACTTTCTTCTTATTCTTTTTAGTAATCTTTACAGGAAAAGGGGTTACTAGCCCATTGTTCCCGGCATTTTAGTTGACTTTTACAACACGCATGGCTTATGGAGGAAAGATTCTTATTCCACTTCCCCATGGATATAAAAGGAAAAGTAATAAGACCAAGAACTATGAAGATAAAATCAAAGAAAACTCAGATGAGTGTGTATAAATAAATGTGTACATGTATGTGTAGTGTGACCTAAGTGTAAGTAGAAGTAGCAAGACATACCTGTAATCTTGCATATTTATGAGACAGACAAAAGACACCAGCAATCCTACCATCATGTAAAACAATTACAAAAGACACCAGCAATCCTACCATCATGTAAAACAATTACAGGCTTTCGTTTTACACTCACTTGGCAGGATGGTAGTACCTCCCTGGGTGGTTGCTGTCTACCAACCTACTACCTAAATATGCATATAAATTACAGGTTCCAGGCATCAGTCTCTGAATCTTAGTTTCAGACCAAGATTCCTAAACAGTAAAGGAAATATTATAGTAATATGAAGTATGGCAGACCTTCTCAGAAAGTGGTTTCCCATTGTGCAACTTTATTGCATTATGACTGAAAAAATGCAAGATAAACTTTTGAGAGTGAACAAAAATCATAATATTACATGTTTAACCCTTTGACTGTCGTGGCCGTATATATACGTCTTACGAGGTACCGTGTTTGACGTATATATACTCATAAATTCTAGTGGATTCAAATCAAGCAGGAGAAAGCTTGTAGGCCCACATGTGAGAGAATGGGTCTGTGTGGTCAGTGTGCACGCAGTGCATAATGAGAAAAAAAAAACTCCGACCATTTTTTTTAATTAAAATGCCTACTTTGTGATCCATATTCATATAGTATTTATGGTTGTATTCTCATTTTCTTGGTCTCATTTCATAGAATGGAAAACATATTATAGAAATAGAGGTGATTTTGATTGATTTTACTATAAAAAGAACCTGGAAATGGAGCTCAAAGTAGGGGAAATGTTTGATTTTTGCCAATGTTCAAAAGTAAACAAATGATGTCATTGTCCAATAAATGTCCAACTAGCCATTCTAATATGCAGTCATGAATGGGTTGATGTTATTTATACAATTATTACAGTATTGCAGTAGTCTGCATAATAGTAAGTCTTCTATTTTTTGTTTGAATAAAAATTCAAAATAGAAAGCAAGAGTAATATCAGAGGGGCCTGGAGACATGACTGATGAACAAAGAAAATGTTATTTTAGAGCCAGGAATGTCTGCATTGTTCATTCTGGACCTTATTTTGAAATTGTCATATTTTTTAATTTTTGTGAAATTGGCCAAATTGCAAATTTCTGACCACATTTTTGAGTAGTTGAAATCAGTAAATGGGCAGTTTCTTGTGCTCAATCGATAGAAAAAATGGAGTTCTAAAGAAATAGCTATGAGTTTGGTCGACTGGAACAACGGAATTAGCCGAAAATAGGGCTCAAAGTGGGCGAAATCGCCGATTTGTAAATATCGCCGAGGTCGCTAACTTTGCGAGAGCATAATTCCGTCAGTTTTCCATCAAATTTTGTTTTTTGGTGTCATTACAATCGGGAAAAGATTCTCTATCATTTCATAAGAAAAAATATTTTTTTTTTTTTTAAATTTTGCGACGCCAGGAGACACCTCGGGATTGGGGGTTGCGACAGTCAAGGGGTTAAGAATGATCTAATACACAAAATATTGGCACAACACACCATAGCAATAAGTTACATACAAATTTATGTGCACCCACTGTATGTACACAATTCCATCCCCTCTACCTACAGCTGCTTTCTGAAATCATCTTGTGCCACTGAGTTCATCAAGCTTTTGGATATTTTTATCACTATTTAGTCTCTGGATATTAGCCATTACACTCAAGAGGAACAGCAGTGATGAAAAAAGTGCCAAGAATAAACATGAATCTATAAGTACTGTATTAAAGAAAATAGACATGGTAGATATTTTTATAAGTTTTTTTCTACTTGATTTTCTTTTACACAAATCAGTTTTACAGGCAAAGAGCTGTTGTCCTACCTCAGATCATTTTTAACCCTTTCACTGTCGGTGTCGTAGTACTATGGCTTGCAAGCCAGTGTTGGTACCATAGTATTACACCAAAATTCTAGCGGCTTCAAATCTAGGGGAGAAAGCTGGTAGACCTACATGTGAGAGAATGGGTCTGTGTGGTCAGTGTGCGCAGTATTAAAAAAAAATCCTGCAGCACGCAGTGCATGAGAAAAAAACTCCGACCGTGTTTTTGGTTTAAAACACCAACTTCGAGGTGTATTTTCGTATGGTATTTACGGTTGTATTCTCGTTTTCTTGGTCTCATTTGATAGAATGGAAGATATATTACAGAAATAGAGATGATTTTGATTGGTTTCACAATGAAAAGTACCTTGAAATTGAGCTCAAAATAACAGAAATGTTCGAATTTTGCCGATGTTCAAGAGCAAACAATACCTCATACCTTAGACCCACCTCTTCAATAGACTTGTCCAGTCCACTCTGTCGATTCCTCTCAGTATTTTGTATATTGCAATCATGTCACCCCTGGTCCCTCTGTCCTCTAATGTCCTAAGGGCTGCCATACTGATAGGGCTGGACTTTGCAGTAAGTTAGTAGGCTAACAGTTCCTGGCTTGTAAATTCAACAGTGTAAAAGAAAACACTATAAATGATCCTACTTACCCCAAAATACTAAGGCAAACTTTGCCATTTTTATACAAGTTTGGATTGAATCTAACTGAATCTCCTCCAGTTGTTAATAATCGTACTCTGGGTGGATGAAGCGGGTACTGTGGGCCAAATCGGATGAGGAAATGGAAGAATCCACCCTCATACGGTGTGTCAAAAGGCCCAATTATAAGGCAGTGGACCTTGAATAAGTTGTCTTCCTCAGGGGCAGCAAATATTCCTGGTAAAGGCTCAGTGAAGATACTACTGAGGTCTCTGAAATTATGATACATGATTATGCATCCTAGCCTTTGGAGAAGAAAATTTGCTATGCAGATATTTAATTTTAAATTTCAGAATCTGTCAATAGTTCCAAAAAGAAATATTACAGGAATAAAAATTATTAAGAAGTATAGGAAAGTGTACAATGAATGTAAGTAAAAGTGCAAAAGAGTTACTTGTCATCTTGCTTGGTCAAGAGATTGAAAGAAAGTACAGGAAGACCCCACTTACAGCAGGTGAGGTTCCAGGACACTGCTGTAAAGCAAAAATCAATGGAGTGAAACATAGCCTTTTTTTCACTTTCTAATGCATATAAAAGCCTGATAACATGTTTACACTATAATATATTAAGTGAGCAATACAGCTAGGCCTAAAAAATGCATATACAGTACACACATCACTTACCTTAAAATATTTTCATCCTTAGCTTATAGTGAATGATGAATATATAATGTAGGAAAACTGAATAAATGAAGAATGGGTATAAGAGATAATCGCTGCATTAAACGAAACACCTACAAAGCCGAAGCTGTAAAGCAAATCATACTGTAACAAATATCCTTTTCAGTTTCAAATGCAATAAGCCTGGATAACTGTTAATTAATATTTTCCCAATGACAGAGTGTCTTAAATGCATTCAGACACAATTAATTTCCTTAAAATATCATAAGGAAAATCCAATATACGTCCACATCACACCAAAATATTCAACTATTTTTTTAATGAAATATAATTCATACAACAGAAACAATGAAGAATGGAGTATAAAAACATTAACTAAAACTGCAAAGCACTTAAACTCTTACTTAAAATATTGTAAATGAGGGATGGAGTACGTAATATCGAGAGAGGTGTCTTATTGTTTGAAGCGAATCTCCTCCATAAAGACTTCAGTAATGGACATTCTAATTTAATTCTGATCACCCCAAAAGTATTAAATTTTTGTTAGATGAAATTGTTGAATGATGATGAAAGTATATTCTTTATGGGAATTTTCTTTACCTTTTTTTTTTTGGGTAGGCTCGGTAGGGAGAAGGACCGACTATGTTTGAAAAAATAAAAAAAAAAACCTTCCCTTTTGTTTTTTAATGCCACTAGGACCAGCTTGCGAGTTACTTCACACCTGTGGCACTAAATATCTGTCCAGAGAGCTTTGTTTCTGACATCTCTAAGAGTTCCCTAAAATGGGACACAACATTGTCACTGCAGATGTTGCCAGCACAGCCTGCAACAGCTGTGTCAGAGTGATGTTCATTCATAAATGTTTGCACATAAGAAAGCAGGAACACTGTAGCAGGCCTGTTGGCCCATACTAGGCAGGTCCTTCACAAACCATCCTACTAACAGAATCGTATTTGCCCAACCCAATTTTCAATGATTCCCAAGCAAAAAGCTTTGATAACTCTATTCACTCATGTGCAAGTCTCACTCAAATCATGTGTATGGGGAAGTACCCTGGCTGGTATGTGGGGGAAGTACCCTGGCTGGTATGTGGGGAAGTACCCTGGCTGGTATGTGGGGAAGTACCCTGGCTGGTATGTGGGGAAGTACCCTAGCTGGTGTACCACCATCACTACCACCCTCTACCACCAACACTTTCGTATCTTTCTACAAACTTTTTCTTGAATTCTATAGTTTCTCACCCTCTTTACCAAAGGGCTGGCACTGGAAGCTTTCTTTTGGCCCATGGTGGTTTATTTAGCAGTTACAAGCACTAAAAATAATGGAATAATACAAAATGCATCGCATGTACAGGTGGAATCGTCCTCATTGGCTGGTAAACAACGGCACACTGGCTGTATGTAGTGTCCGGCCACGCGAACACATTCGGGACGAATGACTTTAACCGAGTTCAGTGTCGTTAACCGAGCCAATATTTTGACGCAAAAATGTTACTTAAACCGATTATTACTTAATCCGATGGCATCTCAATCCGGAAGTCCACTGTATTTATAGGTTGCTATTTCACAGTTGTAAGAGAAAAGCAGTACATTTCTGTCTATCATCCTACTGCAGTACCTGCTTACATCAAGACAATTACAGTTTTTTTTTTAACAAACAGCTGTCTTCCACTAAGGCAGGGTGACCAAAAAAAAAAAAAATGCTTTCACTGTCTTGCCAGAGGGGCCCCGATATAACAGTTCAAAACTGCCAATATCCCCACAATGGCTCTCTCTCACCTAAGTAGCATAACACAAAGTTCAAAACATTCATCATCATTCATTTAACCCTTTCAGGGTCAACAGGCCCTCTCCAGACTTGTTCTCAGGGCCGAAAAAATATTAAAAAAAAAAAAAAATTATTTTTTTATGAAAAGTTTTTTTTTAAACTTTATAGGCTAAAAAAAAAATTTTGTGCCATCAATACTTACCGATATATGGAGGCGTGAAGTTGATAAAAAGTGAACCACATACAGCAACATCACCGACTGCCGGTCACCCAGTAATCGTTTTTTTTTTTTCTACTTTTTTCTACTTTTTTCTATTATTTTTTAATATTTTTTCTTTTCAAGTAACTTTTATGGCCTGTGAGACCAATATGAGCACTATTTTGTAAATTTTTACTGTTTCTATACTACACAATAACTGTAGTCATTATATTGTTTACAAAACTTGTTTACACAAACAATTTAAATGTTGTTTATTACTATTTTTCTGTATCTTATATACACATATACAGTCACAGGACATGTTTCTAGATGTTCTGCAGCTTGTGGAAGTCTTTGAAACATGGTGTCATGCATAGTGGTGTTTTACACTCCTCACGCATAAAACGAGTGTCTCTGCATTGTTGTGGGCGTTTTTTTATATGTGCACTGACATAATGCCTCATCTGAGCCTTTTTCTTGAAAGCAGCAGGAAGTTTTATTAGGAAGTGATCACCATGCCTCAGACGAGAATGTATTTGTTGATAATTTGGTGGATGGTTTTCTATTGCAGGTGTTGTTCCTTGGTACTTGTATATTATTTGTCTGATGACAGACAAACAAAATTTGCCATATGGGGGTTTGTTTCTGGTCCTCATCCTCTACATATTATAAGCATTGAGCATGGAAATGTCCAGAATATGGAAAAAGAGTTTTATGTACCACTTATAACTCTTGCAAACACAATCTGCATGTCACATTTGTCCACTGAGCACATATTGAGGGTGTAGTCCATCACAGCTGCAGGTTCATTGGTCTCTTTATTCTGTCTGCCAGTGTTTGTCATTTCGTTAGGGTGAACTGATGACATCAGTGTGACATCTCGTTTGTCATGCACCGAAATGCCATGATGTCACTGGCAGCAAACTCTTGCACCTCACCTCTATGAGTGTCAGCATCAAACCTGGGCATATGTTTACGATTTCCAAGCACTGTGACACACGCATCTGTCATGTTCACTAGCAAAAAATCACTGAGTGAGGGGCTTGTGTACCAGTTATCAGTATATAATATATGCCCCTTACCAAGATATGGTTCCATCATTGTTCTAACCACATCACCAGAGATGCCCAATAACTTTCCGGTATTTTGCAATGTATAACTTCCAGTGTACATAATAATATCCAATACAAGACCACTGTAACAGTCACAAAGCACAAATAACTTTATACCAAAGCGTTTCCTCTTGCTTGGTATGTACTGCTTGAATGAGTCTTCCTTTGAACAGAATCAAAGACTCATCAATAACAAGCTTCCTGAAGAGATAAAAATACATATTGAATTTCTATTTCAGATTTTGGATGAGCAAGGAGGCTTTAAACTAACAAAAAAGGCACAATACCGTGACTGGAACGATACACAAATAGCCCGCACATAAAAGAGAGAAGCTTACGACGACGTTTCGGTCCAACTTGGACCATTGACAAAGTCACACTTTGTCAATGGTCCAAGTCGGACCGAAACGTCGTCGTAAGCTTCTCTCTTTTATGTGCAGGTTATTTGTGTAAGGAGGCTTTAGAGTGGGTAGGGGATGTGTAGATCAAGTGTTTACATTGAAGCATATACGTATGTGAATAGAATTTAGATAAAGGTAGGGAAGTTTTCATTGCATTTATGGATTTAGAAAAGGCATATGATAGAGTTCTAGGTAGTAGGTTGGTAGACAGCAACCACCCAGGGAGGTACTACCATCCTGCCAAGTGAATGTAAAACGAAAGCCTGTAATTGTTTTACATGATGGTAGGATTGCTGGTGTCTTTTTTTCTGTCTCATAAACATGCAAGATTTCAGGTACATCTTGCTACTTCTACTTACACTTAGATCACACTACACATACATGTACAAGCATATATATACACACCCCTCTGGGTTTTCTTCTATTTCTTTCTAGTTCCTGTTCTTGTTTATTTCCTCTTATCTCCGTGGGGAAGTGGAACAGAATTCTTCCTCCGTAAGCCATACGTGTTGTAAGAGGCGACTAAAATGCCGGGAGCAAGGGCCTAGTAACCCCTTCTCATGTATAAATTAATAAATTTAAAAAGAGAAACTTTCATTTTTCTTTTTGGGCCACCCTGCCTTGGTGGGATACGGCCGGTTTGTTGAAAAAAAAAACTATGATAGAGTGGATAGGGGAGCAATGAGGCAGATGTTGCAAGTATATGGAATAGGTAGTAAGTTACTAAATACTGTAATGAGTTTTTATGAGGATAGTGAGGCTCAGGTTAGGGTGTGTAGAAGAGAGAGTACCTCCTGGTAAAGTAGGTCTTAAACAGGGATGTGTAATGTCACCATGGTTGTTTAATATACAGTATTTATAGATGGGGTTGTAAAAGAAGTAAATGCTAGGGTGTTGAGGAGAGGGGTGGGATTAAATTATGGGGAATCAAATACAAAATGGGAGTTAACACAGTTACTTTTTGCTGATGATACTGTGCTTATGGGAGATTCTAAAGAAAAGTTGCAAAGGTTAGTGGACGAGTTTGGGAGGGTGTGTAAAGGTAAAAATTTGAAAGTGAACATAGATAAGAGTAAGGTGATGAGGGTATCAAATGATTTAGATAAAGAAAAA